CCGGATTCTCGGGTGGTCCGGATTTCTGGCATCCGGATTTTGGGACTTTTACTGTATTGACAATATATAGTGCAGTGCAGTGTTGATTTAAAGAAAATAATCTTGAATTACACCTAGTGAACTTAAAATTTTATTGGTGAAATGACAGCATCAAGCATGGGGTGATTTCTCTTCCATCCCCACTTCCTTCTCTTCTCCCTTCTCCTCCAACCCCACTTCTAATTCCCATCATCATCAACCAGGAGCCTTCTACATACACACCTCAAAGTAAGTGTACTTTACTGCATTTTTGTTTTACTTTGTATGTAATTTTCGGTGAGCTGGAACCAATTACCCAATATCCCTTTGAAACAATGGATTCGGTTAACGAAATTGTCACTTAACGAACGTTTCTGTGGAACGAATTGTGTTCGTTAACCGAGGAACCACTGTAGTCTACTTTCTGATTCGTGATTATACATGCAATCAACACTGAATTAGCTATAAAGAAAACATCAATGTATTCTATAAATAATTCATATTCACATTCTTATCACCATTATAATTACCAAAACTGTTAATGCCTAGTACAGTCAATCAAGTTATTTCTGCTTCATTGAATCATATTCATTATGTAAAGATTTATTTAGTAATGTAATGTTTATAACATTATTTTCGTAATTTGATTTTGCAATTGAGGTAATGCAAATCAAATACATAAATCAGCCTCTGGTCTTATTTACATAATCAAATAGACTGTATGTAAAGGCAACATCTTTCCTGACTGTACATACCTACCTACATCAGCTTTGGGGAAGATGATGTGACAACATGCTTATTAGACAGAGCAAGTAATATACAGTATAGTCTGGATTTACGCTGTCAATTGAACCCGTGGAGGCCTGCGTAAAACGAGAAACGCGTAAATGAAATAACAGAACATATGGGATGAATTGAAATAGAGACTGGGCCGACCCACAAACTCCACGTTTTCCGACACAATACATACCTTGTAGTAAAAATAACATCTTAATTTTATGGTGGTATGCATACACAATTAATAATTAAGAGAAATATCAATAATATTAGGTTTTTAACACTTACGTTAGTAGAAAAGCTAGGTCGGCACACGTGGATGGTGGCTGGTTCCGAGGCAGAGGGCAGATTAGTTGCCCTCCGGTGAATCACTTTCACTTCTCGCAGAGGTTTTCAGGGCCTTCCAGACAAACCTCTCAAAGTCCATATCGTCACTGTCAATATCACTATCACTGACTTGGGCTGGCTGTGGTTGTGGTGGGTTGCGGGCGAAGAAGTCCTTAATACTACGTTGACGACTAGCATTGATGTTGTCGAGATAGATCTGGATATACGGCTCCACAACTTTCGTCAGATGGTTATTAGACTCTTCATACCGATGCTTGTCTGGGTCGTTGTGAAGGATGAGCTTAATTTTCTCCCCCAACTCGATGATTTCCTTCACACAATCATGACTTGGTCCAGGTAATTCAAGGTTTTTCTCGGGTGGTGGGGGTCCAGCGGAAGCCATTGTGAGGGGAAAAGCGGGCACAAGAGAGAACTGTATACGCGGACTGCGAACAATGAGACTGGCCCGACTAGGTCAGCGACTTTTACCCTCTGGTGGCAGGGCACGTCATGTTACATTAGACCAATCACAGGTAGCGGGGGAGAGAATGCATGGGTGGTAAGGATGCGCGGCCCAATCACAGTCCAATACGTGATATGATGGTCAGCGATAACGTAAGAGCGGCCTAATGCGCACCCTTCACCGCGCTGCTTCCCGTGTATGGTCAAGAATGGACCGCGTGAGTAAAAAATGGCGCGGCGCGTCTGGACCTCGCCGCGTAAATGACCAAATTTACCGCATTATTAAAACATTTCATTCTGGCAAGGCACCGCGTAAATGACCAAACGCTTTAACAAAAACCGCGTAAATCCAGACTATACTGTAGTACTGTATACTGTATATAAATCTATTCAACGCATCAATGTTTGTGAGCTACCTAAAGCTAACAATGGCAGAACAACGAAAAACATGAGCAGAATTTAACTACAGTTAACCCTCACTTTACGCGGTCCCACATTCCGCGTTTCCACGTTTACGCGGTGCCCTGCCGGAACCCAGGATGCTCACATTCCGCGGTGCGTGTACCCCTTTACGCGGAGAGCGGCTGGCGAGCCGTGCCATTTTTGGATTCAAGCCTCCCGCCTTCTGCCATGTTGTGTAAGCGGCGCGAACATGGTGCGCACAAGGTCGCCCAGTCATCAAAACATTACCAGTTCTTCACCCGCCACCCACCACAGCCGGCCCAAGTCAGTGATAGTGATAATTATGGTGAGGATATGGACTTATATGGACTTTGGGGAGTTTGACAAAGAGGCCCTGCAAGCTTCTGTGGTGGAGAGTGATACAATTGATACAAGTGACACAGGTGAGGGCCAATAATCTGCCCTCTGCCTCGGAACCAACCGCCCATCCCCGTGTGCCCAGCCATTTTTTCTACTAATGTAAGTGTTAAAAAACCTAATATTATTGATATTTCTCTTAATTATTAATTGTGTGTGCATACCATCATAAAGTTAAGATAATATTTTTACTACAACATAGGTGTGTGTCGTCAAAAATTGGAGTTTGGGGATCGGCCCGGACTCCATTTCAATTAATCCCATATGTTATGTTATTCACTTTACGCGTTTCTCACTTTACGCGGGACCCTCCGGGTTACATTAACCGCGTAAAGTGAGGGTTAACTGTACTCTAAATTAATGAATGCAAATCTATGATCATCTCTACCCTTACTATACAAGACGATTAACATGTCCAAGTCTTACCATTGATTAAATCCTTGTAATATAGTGATTAATTTGAGTATAAACAGCACATAAGTAGTTTGCACAAGAATACAGTGTGTACAGTGATGTTGCTCAAAATTATGGCTTTTTCACATTTAATTTACATTTAATATTTGTTTAATTTAAGTTTCTAGCAGTCCATGGTGCTTTAGAGACACAGGGGGTTTATAATTAGTGGGTCATAGGTGTATTGTTGAATTATTATTACCTGACCTCGGATGGTCCGGCAAAACGGATAATCCGGCAAGGCTTTAGAACCAAGGATGACAAATGCATGGTAGGTGATGCAGGTGGCCAGATATGCCGAGATTTTGCCCAGATAATTTTACAGATCTCTGCATTTCCCGAGTTATACATTCTGAGACCATAGCCATGCCGAGTTACGGTATAGGAAATTCCGAGTTATCAAATGCCGAGCTATCGAGGGTTTACTGTAAGCAGCTATACAGTAGGTTTAATTTGCAGTTGCATTTTTGGAAACTTCTAAAACAAATTATACAGTGTACAGGCAATTATATTCACAGAACACAAAAGTTCCTTAGCAAAATATATACATGTTAAAAGAAAACACATTTTTCTCTTCTAGGATTGTTGCAAAAATTAAGTACTGTACTTGATAATGGAGTTAATAGATAGAAAGAAAGACAGAGAGAGTACTAGCTTGCATGTGAGGAGAGAGAGTACTAGCTTACTTATGAAGAGAGAGAACAGTACTAGTTTACTTGTGAAGTGAGAGAACAGTACTAGTTTACTTATGAAGAGAGAGAACAGTATTAGTTTACTTGTGAAGAGAGAATAGTACTAGTTTACTTATGAAGAGAGAGAATAGTACTAGTTTACTTGTGAAGAGAGAGAACAGTACTAGTTTACTTGTGAAGTGAGAGAATAGTACTAGTTTACTTATGAAGAGAGAGAACAGTATTAGTTTACTTGTGAAGAGAGAATAGTACTAGTTTACTTGTGAAGAGAGAGAACAGTACTAGCTTACTTGTGAAGAGAAGAGAACAGTACTAGTTTACTTGTGAAGAGAGAGAATAGTACTAGTTTACTTATGAAGAGAGAGAGCAGTACTAGTTTACTTGTGAAGAGAGACAACAGTACTAGCTTACTTGTGAAGAGAAGAGAACAGTACTGTACTATACCCTTTCCACACTAACTTGGCCCATAGGCCCCTCCCCTCTTCTATACTAATAGCTGATTGGTTCATAAAAAATTCAAACTAAATGCGTTTACAATTGGAAAGCAGACCTGTTATTATGTAACATAATGTTAAATACATGGATTATCAAAAGGCAAATTATTTCAAGGCATTAGCACTTCAGAGAGGCTGTTAGAAAATTTTTAAAATTTATTATAAAAGGTCGATATAAATATGTGCTTACCCGGTATATACGCGCAGTCCGGGGGGAGGTAAAACGCTCAGGGGAACCAATCAGCTATTTGTAGCTATAGACGAGGGACGGGGCTTATGGGCCAGCTTAGCGTGGAAATACTACAGCTTACTTTTTTTTATGGGGAATAGCCCACCTGGGCACAGGTCATCAACCTACAACGGGGCAGAGGGGGCTAAAAATAAGAGTAAAAAGAAGTTAAAATTTTAAAAGAAAAGGGTTATATTAATCTACACCACGAAGGTGCTGGAAAACCAGCTTTTTGAAGTGAGACAGTTTGTACGAGTATAGAAACACCGAAGGAGGCAGAGGCTTCCACAGTTTGGCTGTGTAAGGAAAGGAGGAGGTACTATAATGGGTTATTCTAGTGTGAAGATAAAGAGAACAGCACTAGCTTACTTGTGGAGAAAAAGAGAGAGAGAAAGATCATAGTATCAGCTTACTTGTGAAGCAACTTGACCTTTTCCGTTAGTTTACCTTAACTGCTCTCACACCCTAATGTAGAGGGTTTCCATCATTCAAGGAAAGTTGCAAAGGAGTAGTAGTACAGTAGTGGTGAGAAAAGAAGGGGCCATTGCCGAGTGCCCCTGTAGGCTTAGTGGACTTATTGATATATTGTTCTTTCTAGGTTCAGTTATGAAATGGAAATTCAAGGTCATTTCTCATCTTTCTGTTTCTTGTAATGGGTATTTTGTTCAAATATAAAATTACTGTAATGACCAACTTGAAAATACAGAAGAATCTTCTGCATTTTTTCAGGCTGGTGAAATGGTACGAAAAGGTAAAGATGGAGCTCTGCATCTACGTCAGATCAGACATTACATGGAGACTGGAGCATATTTATCCTCTGTACATTTAAGTGAGAAGAATGGTATAAGAAAATCAGCAAAGAAATTTTTAATTGAAGGTAATTATTTTGTAGTGCAGTATACTGTATAGTATTGGTATCTTGTCTTTGATTGATTGTTTGTTTCGTCTTTACTGTATTTATTAACTGTTTGAGATAATGGTATTGATACATATAAAAACAGATACAGTACCATATTTACCTTTCAATGTTCTGTCAGTGCAGATACAATTACTTCATTGGTAGAGAGCCTTGAACTTGAGGATGGTAGTAATTATGTAAAGTACATGTAGCTATTGTAAATTATTGCCTCCTAGAAAAAATGTTGGGTGTCTATGGCATCTTCTTCCAACAGGTTAATCAATTTGTTTTATCATGGTGAATATGCACAAATACACACTTATTATACAGTTACAATACTGTATTTTGTTACACAATACAATGATGTCACAGAATATTCACAGTACAGTATAGTAGTCAATGCTGTAAACCTCAAAATTATGCCTTAAAGATTGCTGCTTGAGATTGGTTTTACTGTGCAGTACAGTAAATGAGTTCATGTGTTAGATTGTGAAATACCATTCAAAATACAGCTGTAGGGAAGCAGTAACCCATCCACATCTATTATAAAGTATCTTGCTACTTACAAATGTATCTTTAGTTGTTCACTACAATACTTGAGTATATATTATTATTGCTGTTAAATTGCTACAGATATAATCCGGCTGATCAATTCTTGTAAGTGAGTCATGCAGGTGTCGTATACACCTACTGTACTTTGATGAGGATTTTTTACCTGGTACAGTATATATTAAAATAAAGTACAGGAAGTCCTCATTATAAGAGTATTCACTATCCGTGGTTTCGCAGTTACATACGTGGTAAATTTTTTGTGACCATCCACGTAAAAAGTCCCTGCATTTAAGTGAATTCCACTCATAAACTCTGAAAACTCCCAATAAAATCTATGGATTTTTAGCTGAAGCATTTAAAATTTCATTCTCTTCCTGGCGTCATTCATGCACACACGTTTCCCCGCGCCAGTATGGATGGGCAAACTGAGTACTTTGATAGAACTGAGTAATTCGGTACTGATTACTCTTTAGAACCGAGTACAATACTAATTGATTACTTTTTGCATCTGGCTTGTTTGTGCTGTAATTTGCTCGGTTTGCATGTTGTGTGCATCACAGACCTACATTTGATGTTATTTTGATTAATACTGACCCACATCAAGGCCTGGGGGGCGAAACTATAATAATACTAATACTAATAATAATAATAATATTAATAACAATAACAACAACATTAATAATAATAATTAATAAAAAAATGTAATAAAAAATTGAAATAAATTACTACTACCGTACTAATAATAACGATAAATAAATACAAAAATGAAAAACTAAATCGTTAGTGAGAAACAATATACAGTATGTGTGTTGTGTTGTCAATAGTAAGAGAAACAATTGAGACCCTGCAATTGTGTGTAAATAAGGTAGAAAGTCAGATCAGCAGCTTTTGGCCATAGAAAATTTTCTATTTGAGGTAGAACCTGCTTCTTTTTTCATTTATACCCAAAAAGATCCTGGAAGACTTATGTAAATATTTTTTTCCAATAACCTTATACAGTACTGTACTGTCGGTTGTACTAGAATAACCCATTATAGTACCTCCTTCTTTCCTCACACAGCCAAACTGCGGAATGCTCTGCCTTACTCATACAATCTGTCTCACTTTAAGAAGCTGGTTTTCCTGCATCTTTGTGGTGTAGATTAATATAATCTTTTTCTTTTCTATTATTAACTTCTTTTTACTCTTATTTTTTGCCCCCTAGGCCCCATTGTAAGTCGATGACCTGTGCCTTGGTGGGCTATTCCCTCCCCCAAAAAAATTTATATGGAAACTGAACATTTCTTCATGAAATCCTGAATTGAAGACAAAACAATTAGCATCTGACATGTGTTACCTTGAGTTATTGGTTTGTTTTGACGAGTACAGTATTAATTTCTAAGGCTATGTGAAAACAGTGATGATATTTTATTGAATACAAATTAATATATGTAAGAATAATCAAGGTATTAGCTGTTTATTCAATCAGACAACAGTTATTTATGAATTCCCTACTTTTGGTAAATGTCACAACTCACTAGAAACTTCTGGAACTTTAACAAACCCATGTATTTAATGTATTTTTGTTTAAGAATATGTACATGATGTTTTTTTTATTTTGTGTTTAAGAAGTAAATTAAACAATCACTTATGTTTGTGTAAGTGTGCTAAAATTGACTTGGCAAGGAGAAAAAATTTAACCTAACCCAGGGAAGGAGATGTCCAGTTTTAGGGAATCACTGGTTTTCTGATATCCAGCTTTGAGGGTCTGTACCTGTACACTGTACTGTATACCAAATGAAAGTTATGATGATCAGCTTAAAAAAGTCTTGAAATTCATTGCAGGTAAAACTATGTATTACATTGGCAAGTCCGGTAATGAGAAACGAGTGGTTTTATATACAAATGAAGAAAAAAACAAGGTGTTCGAGGAATGTCATATAATAGCAAAAACTGGGGAACACTGTGGTAAGTAGACGTAGATACACTGTATTTTACTATTACTATTTTTTTTTTGTTATTGCCATTTCTAATGCTAACCTCTGGTGAAGTGCACTGTACATGATAATTTGTGTTGATGATCATGGGACCATACACAAGTTTTGTATGTACAGTACAGTCAGCCAAAGTTCCATTGACCTCACCCTGGCTTTCATACTTGCAGTTTTGCCTGGCAGTACTTGGTGAAGTAAGGCTGTATGTAATGGGGATTGTCATTGGTGGGTCTATTTTTGGCTGTATCACTGTCAGAATAAATATTACATAAACCAAAAGTGGCATTTTTATGATGATAAACTATTCATCGTTACTTAAAATCTTGACAAGTTTCCAAATGTTCATATATTAGCTTAAATAATGAAGAAAATTATATTAATGCATCGGCAACACACCTACAACCAGGGCTGCCACAAGATTCTCACACCATATTTCAAGACTACATGTTCCTCATTTAGTCTTGAGAGTTTCATGAAGGAATTATTTGTCTTTACAATGTGAACATTACAAAATATAAGCTGACATAAGTTAGATGGCAGACACTATGTAATAGACTTGCTTGTCAGCCACGACATACATCATCGGCAAATTTTTATTTACCTCTCAAAACCTTTGCAAGAAATTATAAAATGTATTCAGTATTTCACAATGCTATTGCCATTGATTTTACTTTGTAACTTATTCATGGATATTTATTCAAAATGATGAATTAGGTTCAAATGCTTCATGTGGCTGCACTTACAACTCAGTCACTAGGTCACACAATTATTGTGTAGTACTGCAGTTTATGTAATTTCAGATACAGTAAGTCCTCGCTTAACGCCGTGGTTACATTTTTGAAAATTACAACATTAACGGAATAAATTTTCCCCATAAGAAAAAGATAAAATACGCTAGTTATTTTCCCCAGCCCCCCTTTGCCCCATAAAATACATTACATATACATAAATTCAGTGGAATTTTTAAAGAAAATATTTATTATACATCCAAAAAGATAAATAAACTAAATCATTTTGTTTTGTACTCACTGATGGGCGGAGGTGGAGCGAGTGTATGGTGGGTAGTGGAGAGGAGGAGGACGGCGAGTCACTGAGACTCGGAGGGGGGCTCCCCTTCCCGCTCTGACTGGGGTTCTCCCTCGGCTGCTGTTTGCTCCTCCTCCCTTGCAGGCTGTTGTAAAGATGTTGCTTCTGCCTCCCGACAACGAAAAAAAGAATCCAGCGTTGACTGCTAGTGCTCCTCTTCTTTTTTTCCTTGTAGATCTCTTTATAACACCAAAGGGTTTCCTCCATGTTGCGGACAATCTTTGAGCTAGCGGTTTCACCAGTCATCTTAATATGCTTAAAATGTTGAAACCATCCTCAGCTGGCCATAAAGTTCTCATCCTTCGATCCTTCACCCTTTATGGCTTTTAAGTCGTCATACAAGGGTTTTGCTTTATGCTGGGTAACCATAAGGCTCACAGGTTCACTGCGTTGATTCTGGTCCTCTATCCACATAGCCAGCATCTTCTCCGTCTCCTCAATCACTGAACTTCGAGCACGACATATCCTTGTTGCACTCATAGAAGTACCACTTCCAGCACTAGCCTTAATCTTGTCTGTGCTGGTCCGGATTGTATGCACTGTTGTTGGGGGGTTAGGCCTTGCGCTACTCCAGTGTCCACAGCATGTTCACCTTTCTTAAAACAGTTTAAAACCTCCATTTTTGTAGTAAGGCTAATGGTCTTTTATTGCTTCTTCACAACACTAGCATCACTAACACTCGATGGGCACTTGGAAGCCATTTCGAATGGTTACAGTACCGTATTTATAACAAAAATACTTAAGCACGCATGTATGCTGTAGAAGCCTAACAAAGACTGGGGATGCTCCACGAGAGAGCGTAGTGTGCCAAGATGAGAGAGGGTGATGCACCATGCAAAGTAGTCCGTGATGGGTGACAACGTAATAACGAATTGGTCGGAACGTTGTCGGAATCATGGGTATCTAAAGAGTAGTGACGTAAAAACAAAACAACGTTGTCTGGTACAGCGTTGAACGAGGACTTACTGTATTTGATAGCTCCTCACACACACACACACACACACACACTGGCAAATAGAATATATGAGGATGCAATGTCGTAACTGACAAGTGAGTCTATTAGTGTCTGCCATCTAACTTATGTCAAATTATATTTTGTAATGTTCGCATTGTAAAGACAAATAATTCCTTCATGAAACTCTCAAGACTAAATGTGGAACATGTAGTTCTTGAAATATGGTGTGAGAATCTTGTGGCAGTCCTGGTTGTAGGTTCAGTGTGAATTTGAAAGGTTCTGCTATATTATTTTTAACCAGTTATTCTCTACTTTAAAGATCAAATCTTTGTTCTTTGCCAAATTTTATTATTTACCTTGGAGGTTTACTACAAAAGGTATATGGTGATGTGAATGGGAAAATATTACTTATTTACACTTTCCATGAAAGGGATAATTGTGAATCATAAATTTACAGAAGGTAGTATAGAAATTACTGAATTTCACTTTGAACTCTTTGGAAAAATAAAAGTTGAATTTTTCTCCAATATTTAAATTTTCTAGCTATGGTACTGTACTGTATATCCCTTTATAAAAATAAATGGCCACATGTTTCACAGGTCGTACCAAAACTTTACGCCGCCTAACTGAAAGATACTATTGGACCAGCATGGTAGAAGACATTGTGGCAATGGTAAGTAATTGCTTTTATTTATTTATGCACATACAGTTTATAATCTATAGTGTTCTTACTTACATATACTTTACAGTATACTGTACACTTTTAAAGGTTAAAGTACATGGCAATTTGGATGTGTACCAGATTATTGGATGAAAGAATTCATCACTTCATTATACTGTATATGAAATTTGAAAATAAAATATAAATTAAAGCAAGGATTACAGCCGGGTTTTAATTGATTATGTATAAAGAAGAAAACTGTTTTACATTGTTGGGAACTAAGAAGCAGTGTTGGGAAGGAATAGGTTGTGTAGATATATTTCTGCACTTTAGTTCACCTAGACAGGATAATGTAAAGTACAGGTATTGTAATAACTTATGAAATTAAAATTAAATAAATTTAATTCTAAGTGCCACAGTGCAGTAAATTTCACTGTGGATATTTTATCATTTGTTTGTAGTGATCTTTTATCTGAGCCTTACCTACAATTTTGCACCTAAGAGAAAGATCATGGAGCTTTGTTGACTACCTGAGGACATTCTTCTTTCAGGTACCTGTACGGTTCAATTGAACTGTAAGTTTTCACTTCATATATTTTTAAGCAATATTTTTTTTTACGTTCTCTTTATAATGACCAAAGGACTTGACCTCATGAGTGATGATATCTTGCACCGGACTTTGTAACACTAGGGGTATAATTTTGTTTAACTGCCTTTAATTTGATGATTATAATTCTTAAAGATGATGTTTTAATTAGTTCTTTACAGTGATGTAGGTCTTGAGACCTTATTTCAGGTCTCAGTCTCGATTTCAGTTTGACATTTGTGATTCCAAGTTTTTGCTCGAGACCTTTCAAGACCACAAATTTACCTATTAATTTTCTAGTCAGTTGGGAGTGAGTTGTTAACACATATCTATATCATGAAATTAAAGCAATACTACACAATAATTTGGTAGTTGGTACACATGTGCCTCTACTAATTAGTAAATATTTCAGTACTGTATTAAGATAACACTGACCCTCCATCATCCATAGATTTCAACTCCTTATAAATGCTAGGCGTGTTTGAACCATGACCCTTATATTTTACAAAAAGATTTATTCTAAGAACTGATAATACAGTAGAACGTCGATATAACACGAGATATGGTCCAAGAGAGGTCGCTTTAAACCGAATTCGCAATAAATCGAAGTGTTGTTTCAATGGAATAATTTAGTTTGGTACTTGAGAGAAACAAAATACAGTAGTACCCCGATCTACGTGGTCAATTGAACCCACAGGGTACCGTGGAAATTGAAAACCAAGTGAAAACCGCGTAAAGTGAACAACAGAACATATGGGATTAATTCCAATAGAGACTGGCCCGACCCCCAAACTCCACTTTTTCCGACACAATACCTATGTTGTAGTAAAAATAACATCTAAATTTTATGATGGTATGCTCACACAGTTAATATTTAAGAGAAATACAGTCGCCAGGTTAATGTCCATTCAAATAATGGACTCAACCCCCCCCCCTCTTCCCAGCTCACTAGCTCCTACCTCTCTGATTAATGTTTGGGTGAAAACTCTAGATTTTAACGTTTAGTAATAAAAAATACCTCGGACTAAAGTTAGGATAATATAATTGACATTTCTGGATTCCTTGCAGGTCAGGGAATATTTTGAATGTAAACTTCATATATTTTGCACAAAAGATAAAATATTTGCTTTGTGTAAACCAAATTATTACATTAGATCTAAAATTTGTATGTCTAATGCAAAATCCATGATGTTTATATTCAAAATGATCATCATATTGTAAGAATTCCAGCCATGTAAATTATATTCTGGCCTAGTAATTTGTATGAATTTTATGAGCTAAATAAAAAAAAAATTATACTTCACCGCGTATATGAGTAGATGCACCGAGGAAAGTGAGTCTGGTTCTGGCAAGGTACCACGTAAATGAAAAATCGCGGAAAGTGAAACCGTGTAAAGCGGGGTAATACTGTACTAAAAAGACTAAGAATCTACCCAGATGCACCTCAGCCCATCTAGAATAAGCAAAACATTGCTTTTTTGTAGTATTATGTCAACACAAACACTCATAAATCAACACAGCTAAAATTATGGGACGTGAAATGGTCTGTTTACTAGCAATCGGCTGATGTGAAGATTGGGGGAGAGACGTGGGGTGATATGTTTGACAGTTGATGCCAAAGTCTAGTATCTGTCCTTAATAGTGCCTTTAAGTTTTTCACTCATAAAATGTCACTGAACTGACATGTTTTAATTACAGTGAACCCTCACTTTACGCGGTCAATTGAACCCCCGGCGGCCCGCGTAAAGTGAACAACATAACATTTGGGATTAATTGAAATAGAGACCGGGCCGACCCCCAAACTCCACTTTTTCAGACACAATACCTACGTTGTAGTAAAAATAACTTCTTAATTTTATGATGGTATGCACACAATTAATAATTAAGAGAAATATCAATAATATTAGGTTTTTTAACACTTACATTAGTAGAAAAGATGGCTGGGCACACGGGGATGGGGGGTTGGTTCCGAGGCAGAGGGCAGATTATTGGCCCTCACCTGTATCACTTGTATCAATTGTATCACTATCCACCACAGAGGCTTGCAGGGCCTCTTTGTCAAACCCCTCAAAGTCCATATAAGTCCATATCCTCACTATCATTATCACTATCACTGACTTGGACCGGCTGTGGTGGGTGGCGGGTGAAGAACTTGGTAATGTTTTGATGACTGGGCAACCTTGTGCGCACCCTGCCCGCTCCGCTTCCGGCGTAAAAGAGTACATGCACCGTGTAAAGTGAGCATTCCGTGTTTGGCAGGGTACTGCGTAAACGTGGAAACGCGTAAAGTGAAACCGCGTAAAGCGGGGTTTTACTGTATTCAAATTGTTCCCTGTCTTGCAAGGATTCTAGCAATGCAAATTATATTCTCCTAACTTTAGTCTGTGATATTATTTCAGATAAAAACTGTAAGCCTATAACCACCCAACCCTGGCTGGGAAAGTGGGAGGGGGAGGGGGAAGGTGACAGTGACACGTTTGACAGTTGGGGACCGAAGGTCTGGTGAAGTGTTTATTTGTTTATTTATGTTTTTTATATTGAGTTTTTGTTTTTTGTTTATAAAATGCCACAAGTGACCGGGGAGAATATAATTTACATTACTGGAATTCTTATAAGATGTGTAATTAATTTGAATATAAACAAGCTATAGTTTGCACTAGACAAAAATTTTAGTAATTATTTAGTACATTATTTTGAGTACATGTACAGTACAACTTTGCCCAGAGAAACATTAGGCGCGAATTTTAAAATATGATGCGCCAGATTGACTCGTGCAAAATAGGAAAGATTCGCTTTAAATTAAAACATTGTCCTTAATTGTGGGTGTCGCTTTAAATCAATAATCTTAAATTAAATCGCTTTAAATCGACGTTCTACTGTACACAGGTTTATAAATTATTGCGGATCACCTGAAGATCTGTCCCCAGCTTATCCCACCTGAAGTTTCACCACCATGGTGCTACTGGGGGGCTAATCTTCAGGTGACAGTAAACCTTAGTATTCATAAGAAGATTGGCCAATTGCTAGTTTGATGCTTATGTCGACAATACTGAAGACCCATACAGGAAATATGTGGTGCTAATCCCTGATGATGCTTTGGCTTATAAGAGAGCAAGATTCATCTATTTCCATGTTAATACCTGGACGTCCAAGTTGAATTAGATTTGCTTGAAAATGCCTCCTGCACACTTCTTGAAAAAATGTTAATCAATTCATAATTTTTTCAGAAATGTTTACATGGTGGCTTGTTTCACTGATACTATCACTCCACAGATATATTGCAAAGATCCATTTCTGAATTGACACATGGGATTTAGAAAAAATGATCCATACCTTACAGAAGTTGTGAATTTGAACTTCTGACAGTCTTAGGTATGGTGTTTCCCATACGAAGCCATCCTTATTTTGGAGTGTTTTGTCCATTTCTTCTGATTATGGCAACTTTGACAATTTATTTCACATTTTAGAAGGCCATGATGTTTAAGTCAATTAAAAATTGGCAAGGAATCCTGACAGTGCAAAGGTAACATAACAGTCTAGAAGGTGTTATGTGCCTTGGTCTGCTGCTATTTGGCTGAACATTAAAGATGTATTTGTCTTTATATAGAATAACTCACTGAAAGTGTCACCCCAAAAAGAGGTGACCTTAGCTGTCACCTGAAGATTAGTGTATCCCACCTTAAGTTTAACCATCCCGATGCTACCTAATATTAAACCATAAATGTGGCTGGTCTTGGCTCAGAAGATAGGTCTCAACTCTAAACAGTCTGGTCTCGGTTTCAGACTGAGTGGCCTTGATTACATTACTGTTTTTTTGATGCATCACCTCCATATCTTTCCATTTGGTTTGGAGTTTCACAATTCACTTGATGATGGACTGTGGGCCATAAAACAAAGGACTTAAATACAAAATGCATTTTATAGCTAAGGTAAAAGTCAAGTGAGTGGGAATTTCTTCCTCCCTCTTCATGATAGGTATCCTTATTAGCAGAAAAATATGTTTTTTTTTGTCTGATTTTTGAGTTCATGTCTGATACATATGAATAATCCAGAGACCATCCCATTGTACCTATTGACTCACTGGCTTTCCAAACAATGACTAGATCAGGGTCAAAGCTTGCTTCATATACTGGTACTCAAATTTAACAGGTGAGCAGCTTTTTATGCAACCTTTATACTGACCCATATAAACAGTATCCTTGCCTCAGAATGCAGATGGACCTTCGAAAGGGCAGGGTCTGCCAGGGATTGTTTTGTTGTGTGATTTTACAGTATACTTTTCCATAAGATGGGATTTCATGCTGTTGTTCTTTATTTTTTAATGGGATCATTGTGTTCACTATTCATTTTGAAATACAGTACGCTCGGATAATTTGCTGATTTTTATTTCGCGGTCCTCTATTATCTGTTATTCGCAGATGACACTCTGGATGTACCCAAAAATGTCTGTGGGTAGTTTTAAAATTGCTGGCATTTTTGCAGCCAGGACAGGGAGATATTTGTTCTAGAGACAGTAATTTCCTTTACCTGTATTGTATACAGTGGTCCCTCGGTTAACGAACACAATTCGTTCCAGAATGTCGTTCGTTAACCGAAAATTTCGTTAACCGAAACCATTGTTTCAATGGGATTTTGGGTAATTGGTTCCAGCTCACCGAAAATTACACACAAACTAAAAATAAATGCAGTAAAGTACACGTACTTTGAGGTGTGCATGTAGAAGGCTCGTGGTTGATGATGATGGAAATTAGCATGGGGGTGGAGGAGAAGGGAGAAGAGAAGGCATTGGGGTGGAAGAGAAGTCACCCCATGCCGCCATTTCACCTATAAAATTTTAGTTCACTTGGTGTAATTCAAGACTATTTTCTTTAAATCAACACTTCACTGCATTATATATTGTCAATATGTAAAATAAACTTCAGAATGACCAATAATTGTGCTGTAAAAACGTAAAAATAGTGTATGTTCAAGAGAGTCTCAAGCAAGAAGCTTCCTCCACTGAGCAGGGACACACACTGACGCCATTTTGGGTGTGTTGAATGGCTGTTTGGCGCGCTAAAAACAAGTTCCCTGTACAGTACTTCAAATATGTTAAATAATTGTTAAAATGACTAAAAACTTTAATATAAGACTTGGAAAATTATTGAATAGTACAACCTTCTTGATATTTACTCAAATGGTAACGAATTTAAGCCCTAAAACCAATTACTGTATTGGCGGACTAATACTACAGCTGGTGAGCAGGCGAAAACATGTTGGGAAAAATTCGTAAGGAATTCGTTAACCGAAATTTTTTCGTTAACCGAAGTGAAGAATCTTATGGAAGGTAATTCGTTAACCGAGGCGTTCGTTAACTGAGGGATCATTGTACAGTGGTCCCTCGGTTAACGAACACAATTCGTTCCAGAAGGTCGTTTGTTAACCGAAAATTTTGTTAACCAAATCCATTGTTTCAATGGGATATTGGGTAATTGGTTCCAGCTCACCGAAAAGTACATACAAAGTATAAAAAAAATGCAGTAAAGTACACTTACTTTGAGTTGTGTATGTAGAAGGCTCCTGGTTGATGATGATGATGGGAATTAGAAGTGGGGTGGAGGAGAAGGGAGAAGAGAAGGAAGTGGAGATGGAGGAGAAATCACCTTTCAGAGGACCCATGCTTGATGCAGTAATTTCACCAATAAAATTTAAAGTTCACTTGGTGTAATTCAAGATTATTTTCTTTAAATCAACACTGCACTGCGCTATATATTATCAATATGTTAATTAAAGTTCAGAATGACCAATAATTTCAATGAAAAATGCAAACATACTCAAGACACCAACAAAATAGTTGCTCTCTTGATTGTTAACAAAGCCAGACTGACGCCTGGTGGCCAACCCTCGCATCTGATGGGTGCACAACTAATTAGTTCCCTGTACTGCATATACAGCTCCTCCCCAACTTACGACTTACTCGACTTACGTCCACCCGCACTTACGACCTGCCTCAGTCGTACCAAAATTTTGTCAAATTATGTATTTTCGAGTCCCAACGTCAGTAAACAGACAAAATTTTCGTTTGTAATTCACTTTAAAATGGCTGGCAAGCTTAAAAGTGAGAGTTTTGTGGTGCTGAGAAGAAAAAGAGACACCCATTTTAGATTTTCTATGTATTATTTAAGCATTTCCGACTTAAGACCATTTCGACTTACGACCTGGATTTGGGTCCCTAACCCTGTCGTAAGTCGGGGAGGAGCTTTATTATCAATATGTTAAATAAATGTTAAAATGACTAATAATTTTAATAGAAAACATGCATAAATATTATAAAGTGTAACTTTATTGATATTTACTCCAATGGAAATGAATATAAACAAAGAACAGATTACTGAATTGGCTGAGTACCCTCTCAGCTGATCAGCTGATGTTCAAAACAAAACATGATTTTCGTAAGGATTTCATTAATCGAATTTTTGTTCGTTAACCGAATTGAAGATTCTTATTGAAGGTAATTCGTTAACCGAAGCGTTCGTTAACCAAGGGACCACTGTATATGTGTTTTGTGCATGTCTACACAGATACACATACAATACAGGTAAAAGAAATAATTGTCCTAGGGACAAACACAAGTAAAAATGCCCCCGTAAGCAAATGTTACTCGCGGATTTGGCGATTCGCGGTCATTTTGAGAACCTTAACCCCCACCAGTAATTTAAATTTTTGGTAAATACGTAGCCAAAATAAAAATAGAAAGTTGCTGACAATAAACATTCTCCCAAATTTTTTAGCGTACAGTGTCATCTGTAAATTTAAAATTAAGTTGTAAATTTTCTTTATAACATATACATATTTGTATATTTACAGATTGTTAGATGCAAAACCTGTGAATTCAATAAACTGAATAGACCAAATCAGCGTTATGTCCGAGTTACAGAACCTTGGGAGGTGAGTCTGTTTTTGTTTATTATTTATTATTTTATTGAAATGCCAGGCAGAGAAGAATGAACATACTGAGAGGATGGAAATTGATTTATTTGAAAAGATTATGATACAGTTAATACAATATAATACTGTAAGAGAGTGGAAGACCAAGAAGTATGAGAAGGATGGCGTGAAGGTTTTAGAAGAAATTAGGGGATGGTCATCAAGGAAGCATGAGTATGAATGAGCCAAGTGCATAGTGACAAATAATGGGTAAACCTGATTGATATTTGCCCTTCTTATGGAAAGGGAGCCCCATAGCAAAACATATCTATAACACCAGTAAGAATGAAAGAGGGTAGAATACTATGTGTATCTGCCCTTGAACTATCCATCTTGTATTATAGTAGGAAAAGGCTTGAAAGAAAAAATATATAAGTTATGCAGTGGATTGGACAACTCACGTACTGTAATGTCAAGCTTGTGGTTCCCAGAACCCCTCCTCTTATGTGACCCTAAGTTCCATAAAACTAAGATCTTTTCCAACACAATCACAGTTCATATAAAGGAGGTAGCACTGGTAAGTTAGATTGCCAGAGTCTGATAGCTAAGAGGCTGTTGATGTTGCATTTTTGCACATGGAGTCCATGAATGAATCAGACTAGATAATGGGAAATTTTCAGCTGGCCTTCATTTCCCAGCCATACTTCATGCTGTTCATGAAGTGCTTATTTGAGGATGGACTGGTTACCTAGGCATTGGTATTATGCTTTGAGTATGTACGTACAGTATATTGTGTTGTAATAGTGTTTACGTTTGCTCAACAGCCATCAGCACTACCCAGCATTGTGTCAATATTTCACAGCACACAACTCAGTTTTGCTTTTTCCATGTGCAGGGTCTGGCCTAAGGCTTCTAAGAGGCTGTTAAGGCTCCTGTACTGTATGGTTATATTTTTAAATGAAATGTCAGGAATGTTCTGTTTTTGGAGTAAATATTTCTTATCCCTCTTTGGGGTAAGTTGGATCTCTACTTTATAGTCCCCATCTTGGAGTTATTCATTACTCCATTATTCCTGATCATGGATTAAGTCAGAATTCTTCAGAGGACCCGATAGCTGGGTGTTTCACGGGCAACAAAAGGGTTGTTTCAACTTATCTCCCAATAAGCTCACGTTACCATTTATAAGCAATGTTCACTTGTCAGCGAACTCAAAAGTTTTATCAGTTTCCCATTCCTTTACTTAAACCCCCATGATTGTCCATCTAAGTACTCACTTGCCATGGCAGTAAACTCCACCATTTATACATCTAATGAGGATTCCATCTCTATTTTCCCCATAAGAAGCTTACTGCAATAAAAGATTATCTGTCATAGAACAACACTCTATGACACCATCTTTGTTCTTTGTCAAAGACCTGCTGTATTTTTTTTTGTCTGAGCATTTATATCTGTGTATCTAATATCATTTGTTTCTATTTTGTCCCCAGGTTGTGAGTATTGACATAATTGGACAGTTTGCAACATCTGATCGTGGTAATGTATTTGTTGCTGTTATTATAGACATGTTTACCAAGTACACTATTGCTGTGCCTTTGAGAGACGCAACAGTTTCAGACTTAACCTCTGTTCTACAAACTGCTGTTTACCAACAAGGGCCTCCAAGAAAATTTTTATCTGACCAAAATGAAGACTTCATCAAAGAGGTAATTTGTAACTTAAAACTTTTATTCTTTAGGCCATTTACTTTCATGTTTCAAGTCACCAAACATAATTTCTCTACTCCAACTTTGTAGATATTAAAGACCATGAAGATGTACCTCTTTGTTGCCATGTTCTTATTCTGTATTCTGCTTGATATACAAACCCAGCTATACATTTTTTTTCTGACAGACACATTCTTATACAGGTGGTTCTCATTTTATGCAGGGGCTGTGTTCCAAAAAGAGTTTGCTAAGTGTTTTTGCATTAAGAACCATCATTACATGTAATAACCCAATAACTGCAGCATTTGGGAAATCGATGATACCCCATATACCACCCAAAACATGACATATGAAAGTTAAATAATATATATATATATATATATATATATATGTATATATATATATATATATATATATATATATATATATATATATATATATATATATATATATATATATATATATATATATATATATATATATATATATATATATATATATATATATATATATATATATATATATAATGAAATTGAAGATATAAAATTAAAAGCCATAAAAGACCATATTGAAACTTTGTACTCATCGTGGGTGGCAAGTTATGAGTCTTTGAAGTGAGTTGGAGTGTAACTGGCAACTGCTGAGTGCTGGTTATTATTTTGATGCATGAGGTGGTTGTGGTGACAAATGACATTGTTGTGGTGGTGCAGCGGTGTGACATCGGAGGTGTGGATGAGAGGCCATTGATGATAGCAAATTGATTCGAGGCTCCACCAGCCTTGTATCTCACTCTAGACTCTAGAGTGTCTACTCAGTCATTGACTTTCCATTCTTAGTATGATTTTTGGCACACAGCTATAAATTCATGGTGCAAATCCAATGAAAAATCTTTAAGTCTTTAAGAAAATAAATAAATTATCTGAATTTATAAAAAAAAAAATAAGATTAGCAGAAATGAAACAGGTATTTACTTGAATACTCACCATTATCTTTGCTGAAAGTTATGTTAACTACTTCACCAATTTCCTTATTTTGTCTGCATCTTCTTAGTGTCACATATTGTACTCATATCAAGATGAAATACACAATCAAATGCAGATACCACTGTTGGCTGCTTCAGCTCGTCTCGGTATGTACAACTTTTTGTGTAATGTTAAAACAATCCTTTCTCTGTACATTGATGGAGAAATAAAGGGGTTAGGAGATGCTCTTGAAGGTTCCTTAGTCAACAGTACTAGCAGATCCACTCTCTAAAATATGAGATGACAGTAGCGTAGACCAGCACACAACAGTGGAAAATGTTTCTCACGCACCATTCCACCCAATCCCACAAGGCCTCATGTACTTCAATTGCATAGCGAAGTCCATGCGCACTTACACTGTTTGTACTGTATGATCTTCACACATCCAATCCGGTCAGTTGCATAATTGTGAATTTTATTCTCTCAAAGTGGGACAGTCCTTGCATAATAGCAAAATTGCAGAAAGTGAGGTCACATAAAGTGGGGGACACCTATGTTTTTGTACAGATAACCAAGTTTGCATTTATTATTTTTTACCCTTCTCCATAAGCTCTTTAAATCTTCCTAAGGCTGTTGAATACAAAGCTTTTTTTTTCTTTCTTTTTTTCTCTCTCTCTCCTGGGAAGCAAAAGTAAACATATTAGCTTGTGACCAATTTTTTAATGTCAATGAATAAAGCATTATCAAATACTACACCAATTTCCAGTGAAATTGTATTTGGAGATTGGAGAAGATAGAAGATTTCTAGATTATGTGTTGATCAGTGGCGGCTCGTGCCTAGGAGCTGCAGCCCCCCCAGACACTCACTGCCAGGCTTATGATTCCTTTAGAGACACAGTAGAATAATACTCTACTGACAAATATATATCATAATAAAAAGTCATGACAGTATATGTTATTTTCAGTATGTTATTAAGTGAATTTTCATTAAAACCAGACCAAAATTTAAGTTACTTTCATAGTTGCTTTATGATTCATGTCTGTTATTAATTGGCACAATGAGTTGCAGTTGGTGCAGCTCAGTCTCATGTTTACATTGCATGCGGATGGTGCGGTTAAGCTGTGCTTTCGTTAATTACTCTTTGACGATGGAAAATCAAGATACGTCTTTGCAAAGCATCAACTTTTCCCGGCTGACATTAAATGAAAAGACTGAAATCAAAGCAAGAGGAAGACCTACACCAGTTTCATCCATTCAATAGAATAGTACAATCAGGAACAAAGAATATACATGCCAGTTTAACAACAGTGTTTATCAGAAATGTGAATGGCTCTGTGGTTGTGACGAGGCAAATGCTTTATTCTTCTTTCCATGCTTATTGTTTGGGACTCGTCATGGACGAAAAGTGGTGAGACTGACTTGAGGCATTTGCCTCAGAAAATAATGAAACATGAGCAGTTAGCCAAACACATGAATAATATGATTGATTTATCGTTGCTGGGTAAAGTGAACATTGCAGCTCAAATTGACACAGCATACAACCTCACAGTTGCAAAACATAATGAACAGGTGAGAAAAAACAGAGATGTGTTATCCAAAATCATAAACTGTGTAAAATTTTAACTCTCTTGGAGGACATGATGAAACTACGAGCTCCAAGAATCCGGGAGTATTTCGTGGATTAGTTGATTTTGCCTGTGAACTGAATTCTAGCTTAGATGCTTATTTAAAGACCGCTACAGTTTTTAAATGAACATCCAAATTAATACAGAATGAACTTTTAGAATCTACTTTGGAAATCTGCAAAAATAAGATGAAGGAAGAAGTAAAGAATGCAGAATATTTGGCAGTTATGTGTGATGAGACAACTCATATTTACAATAACACACAGATGGTAATTGTTCTAAGGTATGATCTACAAGGGAAGCCTGTTGAGAGATTCTGGGGATTTTTTAACCCTATCAACCAGACAGCAGAAGCCTTCTCAAGTGTGTTACTTAAAGAGCTCCAGACTTTAATTATTGATTGTCCACACAAGCTCATTGCCCAAACTTACGATGATGCAGCTGCTCTAAGTGGAGTCAATAAAGGTGTGCAAACCAGAATAAAAGAAGTGTATAGCAATGCCCACTTTATCCACTGTTATGCACACCAACTGAACTTGATTTTGGAAAAGACAACATCACAGAATACTAATGTTCGAGTATTTTTCAATAGCTTGTCAGGTATACCAAAAACATTTCTAAGTCTCCACAAAGAATGGCTGCATTGGAGTATGTTGCTGGCCACCGAATTCCAAGGCCATCTGCAACACGTTGGAATTTCAATGCTGTGCATGAAATAAAAGATGCACTAATTGAATGTTGCAGCACACTGGAAGCATCTAACTTAAGAGACACTGGCTCTGCAGCAGCTGGTATCAAAAGAATTGTGAATGATCCTGAATTCGAATTTTAGTTGGAATTTTTCTCCAAAGTAATGCCTCATGTTGACATGTTCTCTCAGCTTCAGTCTAGAAATATTGATGCAGCAAAGGCTAATGCCTCTTTAAAATATTTTAATTCCTCGGTTCAGAAGTTAAGAGATGAATGTGATGCCATAGTGTTGCCTCCTAAGCAGAAGAGAAGAAAATTTAATACAGATAGATCATCTGCTGCAAAGGAGGTCTGTGACGTAATTTTGCTGCACTGCAGAGTGATTCAGTTTTACTAATCATTTGGAAGCAAGGAAGTTACTTTTAGTGAATAATTTTCCAGTGTATGCCAAAAATTTTCCAAATAATGAACTTGCACAAGCAGTTGCAGCCTATCCCTTGCTTGAAAAAGACAAATTGAGAACAGAACTTACTGTACTGTACACAAGAGAAGATTTGTGTAAAAGGAGAAACCATATACTTTACGTACAGGGTCAACAAGGCCATAGTAAGCTTTGACAAAGTAGCTGTCTAGCAGAGGCTTCTGTGATAGCAATGTTTATATTAAATATAATACTGCTAGTTTTGTTTGGCTATGTGCACTTGTTGTTTCCCAGTTATTTAGGAGTTGAATAGATTGATAAGTAACAAATAATTTTAATTGCATTAACAATTTTACTGTCATATCAGAAATTAAAAAAATCTGGATACCTCCATTTGTCTGGTATTAAAAGCTTATTGTACTTACTCACTTTTGTCACACCCTTAATGTAAATAAATTTTATTAAATTTTCTTTCTAAACAAACTCAATTCCTTATACAGCTGAACTCGAGGTTGGAGTTAGATACAGGACTCGTAGGTAATGTAGTAGCAGTAAACAAGACTCAGGTAAACCGTCCAGATGAAGCAAGTATCAAGACTGCAATCCTCCGACATTGTCATGAATCTGGCAATATTTGGGATGATTTACTTCAGAGAAAGGTACATTCACAATTTACTTTGGCTTCCAGTTTATATATGTAATGTGTTTGTAATATTGCTGAATAAAAACTTTATTGAACACCAGTAGTGGGAAATAGCACTACTGAGTTTTTAACTACATTTGATGTTGTTACAGGTATATGAAATGAATACAACTCACATTACTGCTAGTGGTCAGACACCGTTTTATCTCATGTTTCATCGGCAAGTGAGACCAATGGACACTAACTTTTGTCTTCAGGTTAGTAAATATATTTGTAGTGTGTGTGTGTCATGAAAAACTGGTGCAGCTGCTGGTTGGATGCAATGCTCACCTATCCTTAAGGGTCACTGGTTTGTACCAGGGGCACCTGAACTATGTGGTTGAGGAAGTGATGGCATTTGAGTTCAGAGGCTTGATATTCATTGTGCTGTATCCCTACTACACTAACAGGCCACTAAGCCTATGCGATACACGTTTTTTTCACCTTGAGAATGGTTGAAACTATTTTAAAGAGAAAAGAAGAAATTAATTTAGTTAGAAATTTTGATACTTTTATGACAACCAATTTAACCCTTGATGAGAATAGTTAAAAACTTCTCTGCACTCGCAGTCATGCTAAAATAGCATCATCATCAACATTTTATGGCCATTTCCCACACTTACCGGGGTTGCCATAAATACTTGATGGCAGCTTTCCATGTGGCACAGTCTCTTGCATCCTCTCATCAGGTTCTTAACTCTAATGCTATTTCATACAACCTCTCCTTTTGTCATTCTTGAGCTGCCTCTAGCTCTCCTTCCCTCTACATCTAATCTCATGCACCTCTTGATCAATGTAGTCTCATTCATTCTTTCCATATGCCCAAACCATCTTGGCCTTCTTCTACACAAAACTTTGCCAGTACTTTCAGTGCCCAGCCACCTTCTTAGCTCTGAACAGGTTTTTTTGTCTTTCAGTGTTACACTGCACATCCATTTCACCATTCTCATTTCAGCTTCCTGAAGACTGCTTATGTCATCCTCATTAACTGCCCATATTTTATATCCATACAACATTGCACTTCTCACATCAGTTACATACATCTTTCCTTTTTTGCTTTCAATAAAGGCAGCAACTCCCTAAACTTCCTCCAGCCACTTCTGACTCTTGCAACTGAGCTGGTTTCAGCACCCCTCCAGCACTGATCATGTCACCCAGGTAACAAAACTCTTCCAATATACTCCCAATTTTTAGTTTTGTCAGCCTTGCTAATACCTGTGGATACAGAACACTTCAACTCAGCATCATACTGCAGTCTGCCATTCACTCTGCTGCATCTCTTGTGTCCCCACCTTCCACACTCATTGCACATTATTGAATTGCTACCAACACCTTTCTTACAGACAGCATATGGCCATTTTCCACTTTCCACTGTGGTTCCCCACCTGCACCAATAATCATTATTTCTCTTTTGGCCACATTCACTCTCAAGCCCTTTGATTGTATTCCTTCATTCTATTTCTTAAATTTTTCCACCACCTCTTCAATACTATCTGCTATTAGCACTAAGTCATCAGAATACAATAACTCCCAGGATAGACCAGTCCTAAAGTCCCATAATTTTAACCTTGCCTCTAGCACCATGATAAACTGAAGTGGACTCAAGACACATGATGAACCCCTGCTTTCACCTCAGATTTCTCACTTTTCTTGCTGTTTACTTTCACTGCAGTTTTTGAACCTTCATATACATTAATGCCATAACCACTTGAACAAGGCACTCTTCAACCCTAATTTTCTCATATCCCACTCTACGACTTCGTGTGGTACCCTTTCAAATGCCTTCTCTAAATCTACAGATACAAAGTACAACTTTCTCACCTTCCCTAGATATTTTTATTGTAGTTGCCTGGTCATAAATATTGTCTCTGTAGTTCCCCTACCTAGTTTGAACCCAAACTGCATTCCATTTATGTCCTCCCTCTCTCTTTAATCAATTTCGTAATCACTCTTTTCACAACTTTCACAATCTGATATAACAGCTTCAGGCTCCTGTAGTTCCTGGGTTCAAGTGCATCACCTTTATCCTTGTAAGTATTCTTGATCACACTCTTCCTCCAAACATCGAGAACAGTACTTTCCATTATGATTGATGAGTCAGTTCGTTCATCATCGACACACCTACAGCACTTTGTTTGATGCTTTCATCATTTCTGCAACTATTCCAGAGCTTCCAGTTGCCTTTCCAGTCTTCATTTTGTTAATTGTTTTCTTTACCCATTCTCTTTCAATTCTTGGGCATGGTCCCTGTACTGGTTTTGCTACTCCAAGGCTGCCCCTATCTCATTTGTACTCCTGATTCAGTAGTTGATCAGTTATTTCTCCAGGCATCTTTGATTTCCTTGTTATCAACAACCACATTACCATAGTCATTGCTCATGCACTGCTCACCAACAACATACTTGTTTCTACCACTATTTGCTTGGCTATTTTGAATAATCTTATCTCTTGCCCGTGAATGCATTCTGTTCATGCTTCTTATCCTTTAAGCTTCTCTTCTGGGCCTACACTTGCCCTCCATGTACTCCTCCTTGTCATCATCCTTTTTCCAGGTCATCTACAATCTTTTCTCCTTCATCACTGTCTACTTCATCATGCCACCACCATGTTACTGCATGTCTGTCGGGGCCCTTTCTCCTTCCACATATCTTGACAGCCATGCTTAGCAGAATACAGTATCCTATATTTTGGCTCAGTTTCTCACTCCACTACCCCTCACTCTCTTGCTGGCTGTTTCCATTTTTCACATTATGCTTCTCTTACATTCTGTTACTTCATTTTCCATTCTATCCTTCTTGGAACATACATCTTCCTTTCTTTGCACTTTTAAGCAACAAGTCACACACAAGCAGTCTGTCATGCATGGCACATTTTTCCCCTGCCCTTGCCTTTACATCCCTAACAAGCTTCCTAAATGGTTTCTTAATGAAAAAGTGGTTAATCTGGGTTTTTTGCCACCTAACTCGTATACAGTACTTAATATTGAGCCTACTCACCCTCTTATTACAATTTGTAATTCTCCTCTGTCAGTACTATATTGATATACAATAGAAGTCAGTCACATTTTCCAGTCATTTTATATCCTGGTCCTTACACATATGGTTTAAGTGGCTGTAATGTTACTCTTATTTTGCAGATGAGTGGTAATGGCAAGCCAACTTTTGTGGTGCGAGACATTGAGAGATATATGGAAGAAAGAGAGCAGAGAGCTAACGACATAATTAATCAGGTATGTTGACTTAATTTTTCCTTGAGTTAAAAAAATCTATGAAGTTTGTATGTAACAAAATATTCATGAGATTAATTTATACACAAAACTTATTATAACCACAGTTGGCTGCTTAAATACAGTCTGTCAGGGTGGATAGCAGCCTGAAAAAACCTGGAAAATGCCTTTAATTTCATTTTGGCTATCTGCTATCCACCCTATGCATGTTTTTGTTAGGAAATGAAGAAGGAACATAGAACTTAGGTCAAGATATGCAGGTAACACGCATTTGTCACAATGGTTCCATTCCTGAAAACCCTTGTTATGTTTGGAATTGGATGTGCAAAGCTAATTTTCCCAGAAGATACAAAGTAGCTATTAATGGGGGATGCATTACTGGCCAGGAATTTTTACAGCCATTTTCCCTACATTTAAGGGTTAACCATGGTTCCCTTATGGCTGCATGCTAATCCACAGAAGCATAGAAAATGGACATAAAGCAAGGATAGTGATGCTATTGATGATCTGCTTCAAAGTACTGCATATACAGTATATATTTTTCTTAATCCATTCTTGTATATATTATTATCAGGTCCTGAATGGTCAGCCAAGTCAGTCCACTATAAAGACATCCCCTGAAGATACATCAAATGATTGCGTAGAAAACATTCCTACTACAACATTTATTGATGCTGTTCAAGACGGCAACCATGAATACCAGACAAGTGTACAGGTAGTGACTGATGCCCCAGGTCCAGATCAAGACCATGCTCACTACACCCATGTTGCTCATCTTTCTGATGGACAGGTATGTGACCCTAGATATTTTCTCTCTCTATTTTACTGTATTGCAAAGGACAAGTTGGTGTATCCTGTTATTCATTTGTAACACACATTTTGGCCTGGGAAATTTTTTGAGATAGGGGGTGAGGAAAACATTTTTTATTTTTGTTTTGCATTGAATAAAAAAAAAATCAGTGTTAAATTTTTTTCCCTCATTATATGAATGCCCAAGCCATTTTGAAGCCCAAAGTGTCAAATTAATGCAAAAGTAACAATTTCTTGGTCTGAATACCACCACTCAAAAAAAACAAAAAAATGCATTGGAGTGTCTCCATACATAGAGGGTACAAAGCACAACGCAGTGGGGATGAAAACTTGTAAAAAGTTTCACGTATTCGATGGTAAAGTAATTTTTATTCTTATAATTGTTGTTATTGTTATTTTTTATCATCATGGTAATATTATATCTGAATACAGGCAGTCTCCGGATTATGAACGAGGTTAAACTTTAAATTCACAGTACAGGGTACTGTATATTATTTACCTGGTGGTTTATTTTTTTACTTTCATTTACTGCATTTTGTCACTTTATTTCTTATTTTCTCATAAATTAAGTAATTTTAGATATATATAAGGACTTAGTCTATGATGTAGTGGGATTTTAAACATCGTTCTGTAAGTACGGTATGCATATAGCATGTGTTTCGACTTAAGAACGTCCCCAGGAACGGAACTCGTTCATAACCTGGTGACTGCCTGAACAGTATTTGAGATATTTGAGGAGGTTTCGGTAGAGGGTTCAGTATACAAAGTACAGGTATAGCAAATTTATTCAGTATAGAGAGGTAATAAGGGAACCTGAGGAGCAGTACTGTAAATAGCCAATTTACATGTACAGGTACTAATTTATGAATGCTTAATAATTATTTACTAGTATTGATTTGACAGCAATGTTTACATTTTACTAGTGATAGTGTAAGGCACAAAATCAAAACATCGCCAGTCTGTCTTCCCTCTGGAAAGCCATGGACGAGTCCACAAACGTTTTCTTTTTTGCCTACTCTTGATACAGCCCACAATAAGAGCTATAGTTGACACAGTAATAGGGTCACCAAGATCCATTTTGAATGTTTAGGTTTGTGTGATGTTGGAATTTGACTTACCTCTCAGGACTGCTTTGGGTGTAGCTAGGTGGAATTGTAGTGCTGGATTTTCTTGCTAGCCTGAAAAACTGCTAGTTTAGGTACAGGGTACTTGTGTGATGCTGCTTTTAGTACAACAAAAATATTGCTCTACAGTATCAGTTTGGTTCAAGTTTACTCTCTCTCTCTTGTGTTGATATTTTCATGTTTGTCTGTTGAGTCTTCCATCTACAAGTGCCCTTCACAAATACTACTGGCCACTATAATTCTGTCAGTAACCAAATATCCTTGCTGGAGAATGTCATTTTGAACACTAGTACGTTCATTATATTTTTTATGTTACAATTCTGTTAGGTATGTTTATGATAGGATATCATCAGTGAGGGTGGACACTATGTATCTGTTCTAATATTCATGTCAGGCAAGAGGCAAAAAGTGGATGTTTGAATCTTTGAATCTTTTTGAAAGACTAATAAAGATGCAGAAAGTATACAGGAAATGTACTGAGGACACAGAAGTGGGCAGAAACTAATCGGCAGATCATCTCCTAACACTCATATATTTTCAGGTGATACAGGATCCTGGGGGGTCAGTATATGATATGGGCGACGGAGAAGGCCACGTTGTAGTTGTAGCTGATGGCATGACCGGCTTAGAAGAAGGAGGAGAGGTTGCAGGTCAACACATGGTAGTTGTACAGCCAGGGGTTGATCAAGGGGTTATAATGCTCAGTGAAAGTCAAGTTATAATGGAAGCTGTCGATGGCCAACAGTTCACATATATGTCTCAAACCTAAAAATATAAGCTTTTCTATTTACACCTCATTAAGCTTTAACTGTTTTTTTCAACCCCTTTTCTACTTTATAATTTGTTGGTATTTCTAGTTTCCTTCCCATTTATCTCAATAAAGAAAATGTATTTTATATTGTTCTCTTCTGTAATTTGCTGGGAGAGGATCTTCATCCATCTTACTTTTTATGATGTACTCTGTAGTCCGCAGCAGGGGCGTACCCAAGATTCTGGTATGAGGGGTTTACCAGATTGTCCGAATATAAATATATCCAGGGTGAGCGCAACGAGCCCATACAGCTAGGGGGGGGGGGGGTTTAGGGGGGCTGTAAGCCTCCCGAGAAAAATTGGAAATTTGGTAAATTTCAGGGATTTTTTGAGGTCATATGCGGCGGCTATTAGGTTATTTGAAAAGATAATCATGGGGTAATTTAGAGTGAGAGTAAACATTCAATGTCATAACAGACACTCTGTTGAATATTAACAATATTAGATTTTAAAAATGTACATTCGTGACATTTATAGGGTGTAGAAATATAAGCAGCTGGACTAGAGTTTTGGATTCTAGATGTTTATCAATATTCAACACAATAAATGATGATTTAGGGTAGCACAAAAAATATAAATAGTCGGTACGGTGAATTATATTGACGTCTTGTCATACATCATTTATGAAAAAAATTTCAAACCCCGTCTGACTTGCACATAATTAATAGATATTTGTACTTACGTCGTGGGCATTTCAATGAAGAAGTGACATTTACATCGTCACACTGTAGCTTACGTTTCACTGGGATGCTAGCAGTTGCACTAGATTCAGTGTTGGTTGATGATGATGTACCCAGAGTCTCCTTGGCGACGTCTCTGGTAGGGCTTGACGGCTTAGACTGTATGCCAGTTGGGCGCATAAAATTGCGAATATCCATCGTGGACTAGAAACAAAGCAAACACACTATACACGCACGGGAATAACACGATAATGTAGGAGTGTGCTTGTGTTGTTCATAGCTGCAACAGGGGCTCGTGACTGACTCCTGGGTCAGAACTTGGTCATTTATATGAAGACGCCAGTGGTCCTGACGGACATGATCCCAAATTCCGTACACAAGTGTGTTTTATAATCAAGCCGCTTGTGTTTGACCGTATTAAGGTTAAATGTGACAGGTAAGGGAGGGAGATGACGGCAGATCAAAGACACTTCAGACGAGCAGCGTGGGCTTCGAGGGGGGTTTCCGGGCAACCAGGAAACCCCCATGGATACGCCCCTGAAAGTATCTCTATAAAGCTGTTACTGGTAAGATCCTTAACCATTATAGTATGTCCTGAAACATTTGAAAAAAGTTCCCTCTAAATTCTTGTTTTCAGTGGATGGAATTCATTGTTTGTTACTCCCCTCTGTACACATACACTTTGGTAAGTTACCATCAGCAGTTAACTGAGTGTAATAAGGCTCCACTAAAATTAAGAATAATTTTAAACGGTCCTGCACATGAAAAAAGACACGATTAATTTTTTTACTGAAACTATATCATTATGTGGCCACCCTCAGATGGCATGATGTGATAGTTCTTGGAAGAAAGATAGTACAGTACAGTACAGTAAAGTATCTCTCAATGGAAAACTTCTGAATGAAATAACCTATTTAAAGAAGGATTTTAGTATTTTAAAGTCCTGTTTTGCCATTACCAATGCTTGACCTGACGGGTCATTGCAATGTCCTAAATTCCCACCACTATGGTGCTGACACTACCGCTGACTGAAACTGGATCAAAAGTCGATGTTCAAGGAGTCTTGGCTCCTGCTGGGTGTGCTTTGTCCCTTTTGTTCTCTGTTAAGTCTATTTTGTCTTCACAATGCCCTCAGACAAACACAAAAGTGAAAAACTGGGTAAAAGAAAAGGTGGAAATTCTGCCATAACTGGAGCAAGAACAATCAGTGAACAAAGTGCATCACAAAAATACTGGTTTCAGTGTAACGAGTCAGCATGAGCAAATATTGAAATTTTATGCTGATAACGAGTCAAGGAATTCATGGCTCGGAGAAAAATTTGTATTGAACCTTACCTAAGTGTGCCAGCCTGGTTCAAGCAACGAAGGAGAGGCCATTTCTCGGATTGTTGCTTTTTGATGAAGTTAAAAGTTTCACGGAGAACTAAAAAATTACTCGGCACTGTGCACTGTGGCTAACATTAAAAGTTTAAAAGGTGGTATGGCATTCTGTGCCTTAAAGCCAACCAGCCACTCATCTCAGTTGACCACTCCAGTCTTCTCATGTGTTGCTAACCTCCACACTTCCAAACTTTCTCTTACAATTTCACATCTTTGTTGTATATAATTATTGTATTAAATTAAAGAACATGGAATAATTTTGTTTTATTTAATTTTACAAATATTGCTTGAAAAATTAAGAGAAATTGCAACTGGTTGATTGATGTGTGTAGTGGTGTGAGTTTTTTGGTGATTGTAGGATAAGGTTGACTTGCTGACAAGTTAATTGTGGACTTAATAATGTGAGTATTGGAGACTAATGAAATAAGTTAGGGCTGTAAAGTATATGGTTTATTACATGCTTTCCTTGACCAGATGTTCATGATAGTTTTGACTTATGCAAATGCCCACTTTATGGAGGCCCTTTGTTGTGAACCTTTTGGTTAATACTTTACTGTTTTCAATAAATTTATAAGAAAAATGTAATACTGTACTGTACAAACAGGACAATGACAACTACCAGATGAATGTACCGGTTGCTTTCTGGGACATTTATCTGTTTTATGGTTTTATCAAGTAAGAGATTTCAAAATAAGAAATAAATACAGTAAAACCTCGATTAACCGACTTTCGGATTAACCGTCAATCCCGAACTTCTAATTTTTATTTATTTATTTTTATTTTTTATTTTTTTACGGGGATTAGCCCACCCGGGCACTGGTCACTGACCCACATCGGGGCCTGGGGGGGCGAAAATGTAATAATATTAATAATGATGATAATAATAATAATAATAATAATAATAAAGAACCATAAAGAAATAAAAATGAAAAAAAAAATCAAGAGTGAGAAACAATATATGTATGTTGTGTTGTCAATAGTAAGAGAAGCAATTGAGACCCTGCAATTGTGTGTAAATGAGGTAGAAAGTCAGATCAGCAACCTGGGACTTGGTCACAATTTTTGTAATGATATATGTTCTTTGACTTTTCCATTTTTTATTCACAGTTTTTGTGCTGGTACATATTTATGTACTAAAGTGGTTAATGTTTTAAAGCAAATTCTATTGAAATATGAATGGCAAATGAATAAAAATGAATAGAGGGAATTAAATGAGGTAGGTTAGGGAAAGGTACTTGGAAAATGTATGTTTTATTTCCGTAAACTTTATGTACTATTAACCGACCTTTCGGATTATCCGTCGGCCCCTTCCACCCATATGTGGTCGGTTAATCGAGGTTTTACTGTAATGCCATATTATAAAAGAAACATAAGGTACTGTAATAGCTATTTACCCATTTTGCTACTGTTATTAGACATTAGGTGAGCCATAGCATTATTTTCACTCTGTTACATGGTGCCTGTATAATTTGTGTGACATAATATTGACATCAATAACTTAACACATTGATGCACACTGAATTGGCTGTCTGGTTTTTGGGAACGAAAAGTTCCCCTAGTTCCACCTCACAGCTTGAACCTCAAACATAGTTAACAGGTCACAAACCCAGCTGTCCATCCACATTTATTGCTGTTATACTTTGTGTAAGATTTCCTACATAGAATTTCCTGTCACCTGGTAGTCTTGAAATTATAAAAATTAATAAAGCTAAGGTTGTGACCAAAAAATATATACAGTAGAACGTCGATTTAAAGCAATTCAATTTAAGATTATTGATTTAAAGCGACACCCATAACTAAGGACAATGTTTTAATTTAAAGCGAATCATTCCTATATTGCGCGAGTCAATCTGGAGCATCATATTTAAAATTTTGCTGTTAATGTTTCTCTGGGCACGCTACACTTTCCTAAGGGCAAAACTGTACTGTACATGTACTCAAAATAATGTACTAAATGATTACTAAAGTTTTTGTCGAGTGCAAACTATAGCATGTTTATATTAAAATTAATCACTATCTTATAAGAATTCCAGCAATGTATATTATATTCTCCCTGGCCACTTCTGTGACATTTTATAAGCAAAAAACATAAACTCAAGCTAAAGGACATAAATAAATAAACAAATAAATACTTCACTATACCTTCTGTGCCAACTGTCAAAAGTGTCACTGTCACTTACCCCCCCCCCCCCATCTTCCCAGTCAGGGTTTGGTGTTTTAGGCTTAAAGATATTATCTTATATAATGTCACAGACTAAAGTTAGGAGAATATAATTTGTATTGCTGAAATCCTTGCAAGACAGTGAATAATTTGAATATAAATGTCATATTTTGCACAAGATAATTTTTTCTTTTTTTTACTAAAATTCTTAAATTAGAACTAAAATTTGTATGTCTCATGCGAGCTATAGCATGTTTATATTCAAACTAATCAGTATCTTATAAGAATTCCAGCAATGTTAATTATATTCTCCCATGTCAGTTCAGTGACATTTTATAAGAGAAAAACTTGGTCACTCTTGAAAGGACAGATAAATAAATAAGCACTAGACCATGGCATCAACTGTCAAACATATTGTGGCATACTGTATGTGGCCAGTTGTCAATTCTCTTAGTATGGGCACACAAACATACGTACATGTAGATATCTCACACTCAGGAATGAGGTAGAATAGAAACTCACAATGCGCTTTCTGTATATATATTGTTGTACAGCGCAGTGCTTAGGAGTGACTAGGTGAGGAGAAACTTGCTCAGAGGTCCTGTAGGGCAAGGAGGTTTCTGAGGAAGCTGGGTGGTGAGGAGCTGTGAGAGATGTTGCTGGTCCGGTAGCCGAGTGTAGAATGGTCTCCCTGGCCAGGCATGGCCGTATTTTTACAATTTACGAGGATCAGGATTTGGGGTGAGCGTAGCGAGAGGGCCTATCACAGCAGCTTAAGCGTAAGGTGTGAAACGCTTTGATCCTGAGCTGGAGGTTGAAGGTCGAGACTAGGTCGGCGATCATACCCCTACGTCCACTGCATAGACCTAGTCTCTCGGCGTAGCTGGCTGTACGCTGATTGGCTGGTAGGCGCGCGGCCGGAGCTCAGCTGGGAGTTGTAGGGGAGAGAAGCCACTACAATATCACCTCACCTCCCTCCCATCCCCTTCATCTTCTCAGCCAGTAAATAGACCATTTTGCATCCCTTAAATTTAGCTGTGTTGATTTATGAGTGTTTGTTTTAACATAATACTACAAAAAACAATGTTTTATTTATTGTAGGAGATGGGCTGAGGTGCATCTGGGTAGATTCTTAGTCTTTTTAGTATTTTGTGTTTCTCTCAAGTACCAAACTAAATTATTCCATTGAAACAACACTTCGATTTAGTGCGAATTCGGTTTAAAGCGACCTCTCTTGGACCGTATCTTGTGTTATATCGACGTTCTACTGTACTGAGTAATTCTGTTCATAGAAATGCAGTGATTTTGCCATACTGTCATGTCCATCCTGTTGATTACTACAGTACATACACTAGACCTCCATATCAAAGTTGCAGGGTAATAATATCAACAAGCACTGCTGCATTTCTTCTAAAGAGCCCTGCTAGATTAGTCTTCTTATGCCAGGATGCCATAGTTGTATAGTTGTGGACACCAACAGAAATTAAATACACTGGCAGGCAACATTTAAACTGGAGGAGTTGAACACCGATTGCCTGAAAGCATATGCCACTTTCACAGGTAGTGGTGTATTTCGTTAACAAGCAATATGTGTTTGCTCATTTGTAACTTTTGAAGTGCTTTTTTTATGTGAAAATTCTCAACAGGACAAGAAGCTCTATAATGAATCACTGTTCTAAAGGGTAGCATTAAGTGAGGTACGAGTATACTGCAGTTCATTTCTAACCATGTAAAGGAGCACCTTGAGTTATGACATTTCGATGTTAGGAACAAGCCTCCCAGAACCTAACCAGCGGTATAAGAACTCTACTTCAGATTTACAAGCACAACATTGGGAGTGTTCATGGAACTAGTTCACTGGCGGAGGATTAATGCCATCCTTCGCATGGTTGTGAGGCATCTCAGTGGCACTTGGGTTCATAGCATCAGTTAATTGCCTTGTCCACCACCATTTTCCAAGCCAATGTAACTGTTCATTTTTACTTATTTAGCACCTTTTCTGACCCCATCCATAGCCAGTAAGCATGAGAGTGGACCTAGTGATGTGCCAGTTGCTGAGAGACAGCATCGAACCCTAAACTTGCAATCAAAAGTGGATGTTATTAAGTGAACAGAAAATATGACAACTCCAACACAGATTGGCCACTCTTTATGGCTTAGCCAGTTGACAGTTATAACAATTATCAGAGACAAAGTTTGAATTGCCAAACATGTGAAGGTGGCTGTTCCAGTGCAGTCTACTGTAATAAGTAACCAGACAAGTCCCATGCTTGTGGATATGAAAAACTAATCACCATGTGGACTGAGGACTCGGACACAACTGCTCAAGATTTGCCATGGTCTTCATAACAAAGTTGTCCAGAGAACTCACCTTCTACAAGGAGGTCTTGGAGGAGAGTAAAAGGTGTCTGTGCAGAACACCTTGCACAGATTTTTATCATCACGTATACCCCTAGAGCCAGTTGCATCAACTTCTGCAGCCTTAAAAGAACCACTGCAATTGCCTCCAGCCCCTGTAAATTCATGTAATGAGCTAATGCCATCACTAGAGGTCCAGAAAATCTTCTTAGTTTGAAAAGTCACCTCCTATCTCCACTGCAAAATCTGATAAGTCACCTTGCTACCCAGCAAAATCTCCTTCCCAACAAACACCACATCCAGCAAGCACAGCAACAATAGGATCCAAGGTACAGTAATTATATAAGTCACAGGTCTTTGCATGTCTTTATTGTAGATGAAATCTTTTAAAAGTTTCTTGAAGCACTTCAGAAAATAACCCCATGCTAATTACATTATTACTGGTATGTGGAAATAGTTTTCAGGTTCCAAAAAACCACATCATGAGCTGGTCCTTCTATTCCTAATTTGTTCATTAACCAAGGTGTTCCTGTACTTATGTATTATTTGGGGTCTTATGAAGCAGAAGTACCTTTTATGTATGTGACAATTTGTGTTTATGGTCTTTGGGTCTAAACATAATTACTGTATGTATTGCATAAACTTGGTATTTGGGGTTCACAGTACCTGGGTCCATAGCAGCCTTGTTATAAATCACTTTAATTTGAAAAATTTAAGTGCCATAGAGAAGGTTCT